TATAGAAATAGCTGCAAAAGGAGACTGAGAAGGGGGTAGTGGTGGTTGCTGTTTCCTGTTTTTGCGTCTGTTGTTTTTCTGACCCTTTCTTGTTCTGTCTTCCTCGTCGTGGAGTGCATGAATGGAGGACAACGAGGAGTGGGTGAGAGGAGGACTCAATGAACGCATAAAATTAACGCATTCACTCAATGAAAGTGCATGGGAGAAAAGAGGGAAACAAGAAGGAAATGGAAACAAGGGAAGAAGAGCAGTACATAGATAAACGCTTTTAGTTTGTTTGGTTGATGGTTTTGGTTATCTGGTAAATATCAGTGTGTGAGTTTCGAACATACGTCCGTAGAAATGCTTGTTAGTCTTACGCAGGTAGGGGCGTGAAAAGTTGGGAGGAGAGGAGGATATAACGAATCACCTAAATAAGAGGGCATAGGACAAAAGTATCCATAAAAAGTAAGAGACATTGTGTGGATCACGAGAAAGGGCTAAAAAAATAGGAAAGACTCGTCGTTCCATACACATAGTGTGTGCCTGTGAGTGTGCGTTCGCCTTTAAAACAAAAGGAAAGGAAAGGAGAGGATGAAATGAAAGGAGAGAAGGAGAAAGACAAGCAGTCAGTGAGTTTGTGGCACTGTCTATTTTTCCTCATTCGGATCAACTGGTGGTGAATAGAGGAGGTGAACTTATGAAGAGGGAAGGTAGAAAGAAATTGAATGACTAACAATCTCCCCAAGAGTTTCCACTTGGAATGTTAGGCCCCGTAGGCACACACGCTCACGCGTCCTAGCGTTCAGTGATGTTCAGTGCATTGAAAGCTTGACCTAATGAAGTATCAATTGATGACTTGTTGACATCTCCCGTCCAACAGAAGGTGTTGCCACTGTTGGAGGTGAATTTTTGCGATTTCCACAGATCATGCAAGTCCTGACTCAAATCTACTTCATCACCGAAACCATATTTTTCATCAGTCAATTGAAGAGCACTCCTGGGAGGTGTTGTATTAAATGCCGAGATATTGCGAGAAGGGGCAATATTACCTTCTATGGTATTGAAACTGAATGCCGAGCTTCGACTCAACAATGATGAATTCTCAGGTTGATGTTGTTGTTGTTGCTGTTGTTGGAGGTACTGACTATTTTTTATTTGGAACTCGGAACGAATCTTCTCGAACTGCGACCACATGGGGTTGTTCACCAAATTGCTTGAACGCATTCCATAGCCACTGGGAGTGTCTGAGTTGCCGTAGACACCCATTCCGGGGACACTGTCCATGAAGTTGCTAGAATATCCGCTGTTATTGAAGGTCAAGTCGGTGGAACGGTCGAGCGGTTGATAATTTCCGAAGTAACCGCCTCTTGGTGAGTCCAATGCGAAACTGTGACCGCCGTAGAGGCCACCAGCATTTCGATGAAGCTCGTTTAATCGCATAAAGCGATCACACAGCGGCATCTAAAAAAAATTAATTTGATTTGCATACCTTACTTTGGTTTCTTCACAAAATTCACAAAGTGCGCCTTTCACGTATCCGTTTAATTTATCTCGACACAATATTTGTTTAAAAGTGGTAAGTTGTAAAACACTTTAAAACAGAAAGACGACATATTTTGAGGTCTAAAACGAAAGGGACATCC